ATCAGTTGTGACGATTCCGACTACGAGACCAGCGATACGCTTTGGCGCGTGCTGGCTCTGCAATCCGATGTCGTGATATGACACGGCTGCAGTAGGACCTCCCAATTAGAAGGTCTTGTCGTCTTCACACCAACATGGTAACAAAGTCTGGCTCAACTTAAACTCATGTGCTTCGGTGAAATTTTGTCAAACGCGTTGTTTAGTGAGGGTGTGAACCCCTCATCAATCAAAGGGCACAGAAAGCCAAAGCTGTCGACATTTAAGATTAAATGGCTACTTTATTTACGGTTTTTAGTTGCTAAAAGTAACCATATTGTATAGGGCAGGGAAGTGATATTAAAAGTATTCAATCAATACACCATAAAAAGTTGAACATTTTCCCTCAACATTTGTTTGAAAGGGTGTGCAATTCTGACCATATTGAACTGGTTGGAATAATACCCTTTTCATTTTATTTACTCAATTTTGCAAACAGCCTCCACATAAGAGTGGATAACCAGCCGAGAAAATATTAATATTTTATGCTGGTCTTTTGTCAGTGATTATAACTTAACAAAAGCCAAAAATCTACCCCATGCCCGTTTCTGGCTGCCTCCAATTGGTTGTTCTCGGCCTATAAGAGGTTGCTTCTGAGCTTGCACATGATCGACCCCCGCCTGTACAAAAAATGCATCACCAGTCGTCAGCCCAGTTACTTAGACTAGCCTCTTAGAACGCAATCCGACCCAAAGTATCAGTCAGCCATTCCACATTCCACAATGAGGGTCGTCCGGGACCGTCCAGTGTTGTGTGTATTTCGGCACGATGTCGGCGGATGCACCAACAACATTCAAGAAGGAAAGCCGCCTCAGGAAGGCTGCTTTGAAGCCAATTGAGGTTCTCAGATGGCTTCTGGAATCTTCGCGTTCGCATTAATACTGCAGCTCTAACCGAAGGCAGAACAGACTGACCTCGAGCTGGAAACTGCGTCAGCCCCACTCGGCACTGCCTCAAAGACACAATCCAGAGACAAGTGAAACAAGCCAAGATTCTTCAACTGTGGCAATTTTCTCGTGGGCACTCAAAGCACGCACCCAGTTACCTTCCAGGCTTGT